GGATAGAAATCACGGCTGCGCCGACAAAATGGCAGGAAAATTGCACTTTCGGCGGTTGTTACGCCACTGGCCAGGGGAGAGAGCCAAGTGAGACAGCTAGGGTAGAGAGCAAGAAAAGACAACCAGGAGAGAGAGCGAGGAGAGACAGCCAGGGTAGAGAGCAAGAAGAGACAACCAGAGGAGAGAGAATGAGTAAAGACAGCCAAGGAAGAGAGCAAGGAGAGACAGCAAGGGAGAGAGAGCCAGGAGAGAGAGTGAGGAGAGACAGCCAGGGGAGAGAGCAAGGAGAGACAGCAATGGAGAGAGAGCCAGGAGAGAGAGTGAGGAGAGACAGCCAGGGGAGAGAGCAAGGAAAGGCAGCCAGGGGAGAGAGCAAGGAAAGGCAGCCAGGGGAAAGAGTGAGGACAGACAGCCACTGGAGAGAGAGGAGAGACAGTCAGGAGAGAGTGAGGAGAGACAGCCAGGGGAGAGAGTGAGGAGAGACAGCCAGGAGAGAGAGAGAGAGAGGAGAGACAGCCAGGAGAGAGAGTGAGAGGAGAGAGAGAGAGGAGAGACAGCCAGGAGAGAGAGTGAGAGGAGAGACAGCCAGGAGAGAGAGTGAGGAGAGACAGCCAGGGGAGAGAGCAAGGAAAGGCAGCCAGGGGAAAGAGCGAGGACAGACAGCCACTGGAGAGAGAGGAGAGACAGCTAGGGGAGAGAGTGAGGAGAGACAGCCAGGAGAGAGAGTGAGGAGAGACAGCCAGGGGAGAGAGTGAGGAGAGACAGCCAGGAGAGAGAGAGAGAGGAGAGAGGAGAGACATCCAGGAGAGAGTGAGAGGAGGGACAGCCAGGAGAGAGAGAGTCAGGAAAAATAGCGAGCAAAACATCAGCCTGAAGCAGAAGCCCTGTGCCCTTCAAGACTTATCTGCACCCTGTGTTTTAGACACCTCTTTGCTCCCCGAGTTCCAGCATCCCTCCGTGTCCCGTGCCTCCTCCATGCACTTAGGTTGGAACACCAAGGCCCCCGTGGTTGCCCCTGTCAGTCTGACATCATGACATCTTGTATCCCGGTTTCAGCTGGCCTGAAACCCAGACACAGCACATACAGGACTCAAAACCCGGACTGTCCAGGTAAATCCAGGACAGGTGGCAACGCTACCCTTACCTCTTGTTCTGGGGACAACTCTAACATTTAGCATTCCTCCTCACTTTCTGTCTCAGTTTCACTGATCACTAGCACATATATAGCAGAACATGACCGGAATACAATGGCAATACAATACAGGAACATGGACAGTTTTAAAAACTTTGCAGAGGCCCTAACCCTTCAAGAAGAATGACGTTTATCAGGTTATGTCGGAATCCTGCTCCCTCCTGTAATGTTATTCAGCAACTCAGATATCACCCAGATGAGTGTAATCACGCAGGGCGTCACATAAGGCAGATAAGAGCGGATTCTTGGTGACAGATGGGGAATAGGACGAGTCATGTGTAAAAATCTCCCCTGGCAAGTGACGGCGTTCATAGTTTACGACTTTTAACTTTATATGATGATTATATCATTATTATTATTATGTAGACACACAGCAAAAGAACACGACGCAAAACAGACTTTTAACTTGAAACATTCCGATGAATTTGCCTTTTGGATATGCAATACTTTCTTATGCACGGCTATTGAATTGCTAACAAAATGGCTCTCTCTATAGGTTGAACTCAATGGACATGTGTCTTTTTCCAACCTGACTCACTATGTAACTATGTAACAAAATGGTCTCCACAATGAGGATGACAAGTTGTCCTTTGTTTCACCATTAACCCTTTCTCTGCCCACATGGTACAATGCACATTTTAGACCCCGGAGAATAGAATGGTGGCAGATGCAATTGTTTTATGTTACACCATATTCAAGCAACTGTTTATCAAACCCAACATTTCAGTAAAAATTACTGAAAAGAGACCTTTTTTTGGCTTTACTTCCTTTTGGTTCACAGGAGTATTCCCTAAAGTCGGCATATAGAGAGCTACTGCCCGCTATATACTGACAGTGCAGAGTCGCACTGGGGCAGGGAAGGATCATGACAATGTTGTTGGGATCCACCAAGCTGCCTGATTGACAACTGGCTCTGCCTCTATAGAGCCAGAGCCAGCTGTGCCCACCCCCTCCCCTGTCTGTCCCTCCAATCAGCACTGGAGGAACAGAGAGGAGTAGGGAGAATCCCTGCGGGGAGCAGTCACTGTCAGTACTCTCTGCACGGAGAAGCCGTGAGCTGAGCAATCAGCAGTCACATGATCACAATTTATAGCACCATTGTGTATACCTCCAGTGTCCCATTCCAGCTCAAAGTATTGAGAAGAGTATATTTTATTCTGGCAATACTTTTGCATTAAATTAATTTTAGTGCACACAGACATGATATCACTTCCACATTTTTTGGTACAATACAAAAGATGAGGTTGCTCTGATTATATAGATACCAAACATGCCAAGTCTAAAAAATGCATGCGTCTGTGAAACAGCAAAAATCTACAGTACCCAAAATTGTCCTCCACAAAACACTTTATTGTGACCCAGGTCATAATGTTAGAGAGGACAGTGAATGACGGCACCCTGAATGATTGCTCACATGTATCATGTATGGTCGTCATTTTCGACTATATGAATGACTATAATATTTTCCTGGGTGGGTAGGATAGCAGCTGTGAAGAAGTCACTGTTGCCCAAGTTCCTATACTACACACATTTCTTACCAGTGGCCATCACACCATATAGAATATTCTCCCCGTAAAACCAGATTTCATGCTGTATTTTTTTTTTTTCCTTAACATTTTTCATAGATTCCAAGGGAGAAAATTGTAGAATTGAAAAGAGAACTATGGGGTAAGTGTTTTTCCCCATAGTTCTCGTTAGGGTCACGGGAGGACATATACTAGCGTCCTCCCGTGACCCAAAGCACTATATTGCGTGCTACAGCTTGCGGTATACTGAGACCGCTGCAGCTAGGACAGATCCTGACATTACTGTCGAGATCCACCCAGCTGCGTGAGTGACAGCTGGCTCTGCCTATCTAGAGGCAGAGCCAGCTGTACCCGCCCCCTCCCCCATCTGTTCTCCGGTCAGCGCTGGAGGATCGGAGCGGGGAGGGGGGGAATCCCTGCAGGGAGCGGTGACTGACAGTCACCGCTCTCTGCAGGCAGATGATCGAGAAGTGAGTGAGCGACGGTATGTGTTCACTCACTTCCCGATCTATTGAGCCGACGTGTGACAGTTTAATTGTCGCAGGTCGGCTCGAACTATGAGGATGAGTGATTTTCACTCACTTGATAGTTCTCCTTTAAGGAGATATTCACCTTCTGCTACAATGTGCCTGAAAAGTCATTTTGCAAGGGACTTTTATTTGCCAGTTATATTACATTTTGATGATTGTATTTTATACACCAGGGATCAACTGAATATCAGCAAAACAGAGGGTAGATTTCCTGTTTAAAGGAAAATATAGATTATTTTCAAAACATTTTTAGATCTATGTATGAGACCTGCTTGATGTAAAGGTTATCGATATGTGATTCATAACTAAAAAAACCTTGTGTCAAATTATAGATTGTGATTATACGTGTATATAGGAGAAGCCATATTTGATCAAGACATACTCAGGTTCTGCATTCTGCTTTGCAGTGCCACACAATGGTTGTGCTTTTCTGCTCCTTCTCACAATGTGAGTCTATAAGTTAGCTGATTGATTGAAAACAATGCTCCACCTGCGTGGCTGATATCTTATCTAACAGTTGTTAAGAAGGGAGGCACAGTGATTGCAAATTCAGTGTTTGCTTGTTCTAGTAATCTACAACGTGACATATTTAATACAGTAACAAAAATAGGAAAAAGCAGGTGAAATAAATGTGAAAGTCACATAAGAATCACTTTATTGTGGACTTTACATGAGAGCACAGTGAGCTATATGATAGAAAGGGAGAGCACTAGGGTGCCCTCATCAGTATACTGCTGCCCCTTCATGGTCCAATCACAGACTGGGTGGTCTTTGATCAAACTCAATTGCTTTATCTGGAGTAGACATATAAGAGATCAGAACCTGGCTGGTAAAGATGTTTCAACTAAAAATGTGATTAAATGGAACTACAAGTTTTTTGACAAGTAGAAACAGTTGACACATAGGTAAGTCAATTATGAATTTAGCTTTAAAGCGTCTGTAAGACAAAAAATAAATAAAATGTAATTTTGGATAGAGCACAGAATGTCTTTTTCCCAACAACAAGATTTCATTTCACTGTCCTAGAGATGCATCATAATGTAAGAGAAGATCTTTTCAAAAGGAGATAGACAGTTGTTGTCTTGTTCTGGTGACAACTCAAAAATGTTGGATTTCCCATTCACCGTACCACAGACAATGGTCACCAGGACCAATAATGAGGATGAATCTTTCCAGTGGGGAAGTCTGCATGTGGCAGGGGAGGGCAGTATAGGTAGGTTATTATATGCCCCTGACACCTGTGTAGTGAAACTCAAATGCTCTTTAGGTTGACCTTACACAATCAGGAAGGTCTGCTATACTTCTATGTCAATAAAACCCATTAACAGCTGTCTGTGGATCAAGGTTTCTGAGGTCACCACAGGGTACATCACATGCCAAAGGACTATGAAAAATGTTTTATGCATTTCTAGTCCATTGAGCTGTGGAGCTGTGATGACATACAACGTCCCCTGCGGTAACTGTTCATCATAGAGGTTGTATATCATCACAGCTCCACAGCTCAATGGACTAAAAAATGCATAAAACATTTTTCGTAGTCTCTGGGCATGTGATGTACCCTGTGGTGACCTCATACCAGTCAAAATCGGCACAAAAACTCAAACATGAAGGTCTTGAATTTCCTCAACCGTGACACCATATATGCAAATTGAAGCTGAAATGACTATTTTACTTCTAAATACATTGCGTCAAAGGCAAATTGACATGAACAACATATAATGTACAAAATAGAATTAGAAAACTCTACGTTACTTTGTCTTTGCCTCCTTCTCCCGGTCTTTGTTCTTCTTCTTGCCGAAGTCCATTATCTGAGCCGCAGAGGAAACCTCAAGTTTTCAGCATTACACCTGTCGGAGGAATTGTGTGTTCATTGTAAACTGTTAAATTGTATCCAGCCTCGCAGGGTGCGGTTGTTTAAACACATCAGTTCACCAGATCCCCGTCTCCCACACTGAAAGAATGTCATCCGTCATAGTAATTGTAGACTGAAAGGTGATTAAGTTTAAACCAAACATAAAGATGACTTATTATGGAGAGAAATGTACACAGAAGTACACCTCTTACTCCTGCCAACTTATCGCCACATTGTGGATATAGGCGATCAAATTATACACTATGGTAGCTTGCCTAAACCAAGGTAGATATTAGGATTAGCTAGTTACACTATGTGATTAAAGGTTGTTCCTCATGGCTGAGGCCAGTCATTACCATTGTGCAAAGCGCTGCCCAAACTGTTGGCGCTATATAAATCCTGTATAATAAAAATAATTATTATTACATTGTAGGTGTTTCTTCTAGTAGACATTGTGGGTTTGGCATTTTGTATGCTTGTTGGTGACTGGGCATAGGTAGCCCAGTTGATTGCTCTATTGCAAGTATATGTAAATCCAATGACTAAAATCTTATATAGGCTTTAAAGTTTTACAGATGTCCTAAACTGTGAAAGCTGTGCCCACAAAAGGCAAGCAGAGGATAAAGGACTAGTCACCAGTATTGCCCGTGGTCTTTCTACAGTTGTTGTGTTACCTGTTACTGACTTACAATGCCTTGTTCTGCAGTGTGTGTGGAGGTAGCAATATCGATAAAGGATTTCCCGATTGGTAGGGGGAATATTCAAGAAGTAGCAGGAGAGGTGCAGAAAGCACAGATTCACTGTGTGGATGAAGCAAAAGCAGGGAGATTCTTACGTCTTACAGCAGTACCCAGAAATGGAGGAACTTTCCCCTTCAGATCATAGGTTTGAGAGATGGTCCAACGAATCTTTTAGAATGCCCAGGTGGCCTTCAATATGATAGGCAGAACAATGAGATCACTTAAAATAAGAATACAAGAACATATAAAAAACATTAAAAAAGGAGACACTAAACACCACTTTAAATTTTGTTGCAAAAGGGACCATAAGGGGTTAAGATTTGATGGGATAGATAGGGTCAATATACATTGGAGAGGGAGCAATTTAAAAAAAGGAAAATATCTCAGACTGAATCAAAGTGGATTTACACTACAGATACACTGACGCCTAAGGGACTCAATATTGAGTTTGATTTAGACTGCTTCCTAAGTAATGGGTAACATAGACATATTTGAATATGTCCCTTCCCTGGTATATTAAAGAGGTTGGGGTTCTGGTTTTAATTTCTATCTTTATCTGTGGTTTGTATTTCATATAATGTTATATTTGTATATGTCTTATTTCATGTTCTCTCATTTATTGGTTAATTTTAAAGTTTGCCTTATGGAATATCCAGAAAGTCGTATTAATTGATATTTTTTTTTTTTAACCAGATATCCACAATGAAGGGAATTTATCAAAACTGGAGCAGACAAAATCTAGAGCAGATGTTCATGGCAGCCAATCAGCTTCTCTCTTTCATTTTCAAATCTTAACTGAACAAACTGAACAGAGAAGCTGATTGGTTGGCGTGCACAGCTGCTCCAGATTTTCTCTGCTCCAGTTTTGATAAATTCCCCTCATTGTGTATTATTAGCTGTAGCTCTCTGTGTGTGATATTAGCTATTTGATACTTGATAGCGGTTAGCAAGTTGATTTCTGAAGGGAGATCTCTAGTGGCTAATAATCATATTGCATCCTGTGATTTGTATGTGTGAAGATGGGATATAAGAACAAGCGATTAGACCTCAGCATGTACGCCGTCCATAGAGGAAGTCCTGGTGATGAAACACGTTGACAGGCAGGCACATGCTGATGTCATCACGCACAGAGAGGAGCGGAGACTAGAGAGTGATTGCGAACAGCTGAGATTTTCTAGGATAGGTATCCGTCTTATCATATTCCATTTGGGGACCGGGAGATATTCTATGCTTTGCTGAAAGAGATCGGGTAAGATAATTAGGAGGCTTTAAGTGGTGAACGGAGGAGATGTGACAGATGAAAGTGAAGGATCACAGAAACTAGGGATGCACCAATAGCGATACTAGTATTGATGCCTATACCGAGTATTTAGGTGAGTACTCATAATTGCCAAAATGCCCCAATACTTACCACAATACCATAACTTCTAGTCAGAGGGAGATTCCCACTGACCTGCAGTGCCATGATGGAGCATAGAGCCGGCTTCCAAACCAATCAGCAAGCCAGGCGGCGGGTCATGGCATGCCTCCCGTCTTCCTGATTGGCTAGGACTTGTCTCTAGGCAGCCTGGCTTCCTGACCAATCAGGAAGCCGGGCAGCATGTCATGTATCATCTCCCAGCTTGGCTAGGAAGCCGACTTCACTTGTTGCTAGGGAGCCTTGATTCCTGATGAATCAAAGCCGGGAGGCACGTCATGACCTGCTGCACGCCTTCTTGATTGGTCAAGAAGCCAGGCTGCCTCACAGTGCCGTGAAGGGAACATGAAGCCGGTGTTCTTTCGATAGAATACTGGCTTCCCAGGCAATCAGAAATCTTGGTGGCAGGTCGTGGCCCGTTGCCCGGCTTCATGATAAGTTGGGTCTATGGTACAACAAGAAGTGTGCGAACTGTCTTACAGATGAAGGCAGCTCAAGGGTTAATCATCGGCTGGGACAAACCACAATGTCAAGATTTTTAAAGAAAAGTATCTATTTATTTCTAATCAAAGACATGCAAAAAACATTACTGAACACACGGCTGACAGTTTCCTGTCAAATGTTTACAAAACGATGTCTGGTCGGGCTGACTTTGATCGGTGGTGAGGTGGATAGATGTACCCTTGATTGGCCGTACATGTATCTCCTATATTTCTAAAGTCTGTGGATTATTTTTGATACTAGTATGTATCTTATTTGATCCTGTTTAGTAACTATGATTTGGATATTATCCGCATATCTTTAAGCTATCTCCAGTTTAGATGACCCCTCTTGTTCCTGGTTAATCCTGTGTGTTGCAATTTCTTTGAAAAACCATACCACAGACTTGTCTAAGATCGGCAGTGAGTTGATCTGTGATGGTTTTCTTAACAATTTTCGTATTTTCATTTGGGGATACTTTCAATTATAACTGGGACACTTGTTATGATTATAGCTTGATGTTTAGTGGGATTTAGTGCGTGCTCTAATGTGCTTTGTTTTTCCTGATCACTGATACTCCATTTCTCAAAACCTTTTGCATCGGGGGATCATTTATATATAGCAGTGACTTATAATTTAAGCTTTTTTGCTAGTTCGTGTTTTGGAGCCGAACAGCAGATCTACTCACATGACCTCTCGGTCAGTCCTTCGATAATACATCAAGGCAGAGGCACCCAAAACAAAACCATAATGAAGACAAGAAGTCGCCGATATTAACCCCATGCCACCCGCAGGGAAATGAAGAAACAAACAATGTTATAAATCTAACCGAATTTCCACTGAATCAACATCACATTAACCTCCTGAAAAGAGGATTATCCTTCGCACCCGTGGATGGCATGGACGAGTTTATCATTTTCAAAGATCTAAATCTCTTCCTAAGAAACGTCCACCTACGGTACATCCATGAAAACAAAACAAACTCCTCAAAAGGGAACACCAAAACCGAACAAGAAATTAACGAAATAGATGTCCAAGCCCTAAAAGACCTAGAGGCACTATTAGAAGAAAATTTGGAAACCACCAACCAAGAAGAGGATGAACAGAACGACAAACGAATAACCCCCTTCAAAAAAAGATCTAAAACAATGCCCAATATATCTAATAATAAGCACCTAGCACTTTTCAAAGAACTAGTGCACAATGAGATAAAACAGATTGATTGGTCAATAAGGAGCAAAGATAATCTAACAAAAGCAGAAAGACAAGCCCTGAAGGAACTTAAAACAGCACCAGGAATAGTGATCAAAAGCAGTGATAAAGGAGGCAATGTGGTCCTACTCCCAGAAACGATGTATACAACAGAAGTTAAACGACTCCTGAATGATACACATACATATGCCAAACTAAGAGACTCCCCCTTCAAAAAACTCAGCATGGATTTCAACTTCAAAATCAATCTGGCATTTGAGGCAGCTCTTCTAACCATAAAAGAAGTACGCTTCCTACATATAGAACGTTTCAACACTCCCACATTCTACATAATTCCCCAAATCCATAAGAATCCCAACAATCCACCAGGGAGACCAATCGTCTCAGCCATGGGGGGACCCCTAGAAAATCTGGGGAAATACCTGGACTCCCTGCTAAAGGACATGGTACTTCAGCTACCATCATATATCCGAGACACGAAAGATGTCCTGAAAAGGCTATCGGAACTAACAATGAGTGAAGACAATCTACTGGTGGGAATTGACGTGGAATCTCTGTATACCTCAATACCACTCAAATGGGGCCTTAAAGCTGTGGATTTCTTCTTGCAACAATTCTATTCAGAAATGGCACGACAGAACGAGTTCCTGTTAGAACTGTTGGAATTCGCCCTGGAAAATAACTTCTTTGAATTTTCAAACATCTTCTATAAACAAATAAGAGGCACAGCCATGGGAGCACCATGGGCACCATCATATGCCTGCCTGCATCTGGGCCTCTGGGAACTAGAGGAGGTATATCAACATCCATTAACACACAGGATTAACCAGGAACAAGAGGGGTCATCTAAACTGGAGATAGCTTAAAGATATGCGGATAATATCCAAATCATAGTTACTAAACAGGATCAAATAAGATACATACTAGTATCAAAAATAATCCACAGACTTTAGAAATATAGGAGATACATGTACGGCCAATCAAGGGTACATCTATCCACCTCACCACCGATCAAAGTCAGCCGGACCAGACATCGTTTTGTAAACATTTGACAGGAAACTGTCAGCCGTGTGTTCAGTAATGTTTTTTGCATGTCTTTGATTA